TAACAGTTGTTTAATCAAGGAGACGACCAGTGTAGGGAAGGCCTAATATCTGCAAGCATGGGATTCAGAGTTTAAGCGCTCCGCTTAGTGAAGCAGAAGTGTATGTGCTTCTAGGGGCTTGAGAAATAGCGCCAGGAGTGAAATGCACACAGGTACTGGACCCGAGTGAAATCGGTCAACCAGAAAGATAAGGAACGGATTTACGAGACAATGAAAGGATCCGGATTGGAGGCCCGAGTGGGATAAGCCCATCGAAAGAGAGGGGTCGGGGTAAATAGCAAGTGTGATAACAAAAGGGCAAACATTTGGATTATTGGAATGTAAACAAGTGAGAAGTTGTGATAGGGCAGCAGTGGGATAAGAGGGTAAAGAGTAGGAAGATAGACAATGACAGAAAGAGGAGTGATAGTGTAACCGTTTCCAGCAGAACGGTTGTCGAGGGACTGGCTTCACTTGTCTCTTTGACGAGTTCGTATCTTGGTGCAGAGAATGACAAAGCTCACTGATGATGCCGACTACCATGCCGGCGAAAAGTTTGAGAATGTATCAAGTCAAATGTCAGATGCTGGGAATCAAGACATCTACTATGTCAGACGACTTCGGACTAGGTGCGTTCTACATAGTCTCCCTGAAAACAAGACCAAGTTGCGAGAACGAGGTCAACCCACTTAATATTGGGCAGTTTTAAGATTTCATTTGGGCAATTAATCTCGAAGTCATAAAAATCTCTGCCCTTGCTTGCCTCTAAGACTTTCCGTTCATTGCAATAACTTTCTCTCCTTCCAAATTATTTCTCCAATATGCAGATCTTCATGCAAATTCTTTCCAACAAATTTCCTTGGACATACACAACTTTATATTTACGATTAGGCTTTTATGCATATATCTGAAATCTGCCTTCTTTTGCAGGCTGTTCTTGCGCTGGCGGCTTCTTGGACATCTCGTCCCAAAGAGGAACGGACATTGACTGGCACTGTAATTGACTCTGGCGATGGTGTAACCCATGTTATACCCGTGGTTGACGGCTACGTAGTCGGCTCGTGCATAAAGCACATACCAATTGCAGGTCGCGATATCACTTGCTTCATGCAGCAACTTCTGCGTGAACGCGAAACCAATATCCCTCCAGAGTTGAGCATGGAAACTGCTAAACAGATTAAGGAGAGGTAAGGATATATATATATGTCATATGCCATCACCAAATAAAACTTTGATTATAAAATTTATACCCTTTGCCACACCATTCAATAGTCTGTCTCCTCTTGGCACTTAAAGTGTTATTTATTTATGATAATCTATTTTTCCATAGTTATGTACAACTCTAATAAAGGAACTAAAACAATGATATTTTAGTCTCTTGCTCTTCCATCTTCCACCTTCCTTGTCTGTTTTAGGGTATTATATGTGGTGGGCTGGGCCAGTTACGCTTGCCATGCCTTGATTCCCTAGTTATACCTGCTATGTCGTTTTTATTATAATTTACTTTGAAAAGTCTTCCTTATCTGTTAAATTAGCTGGCATCGATGATTTTCTAGGATAAAGCTATTTGTTTCTAGTTTATTTTGCGTATAAAACAACTTATTATGGTAATTAGTGCAGAATTCCTCCTAGGAAGGAGAAGTAGCCTCTAGACCATCGTTTAATGTGGGCTAAAGCAATTGGGAGACTATTAGTATTCCTATCATTCTATGCATTAATTTTACTGTTATGCTTTTTACGAATTTGTGTGTGGTTCTAAGGCTTTTGGATAGTTCCATAGTTAGTATTTACTCTACAGAAACACGCAATTAAATAAATGCAATTCGAAGTTTATTTTCAATGATTAATTTCCTTTGGACATTTTAAAAGTCATCATAGTATTAAAAACCATTCTCTCTTAGATTTTCAGAGAGAAAATAGGGATATAATTTTGTTATTGTATTCTAAACACCTTTTGGGAAAAGTCTGGCATGTGAGAATAGGCATTTTTGCACTTATATGACCATCTATTTTTTCATAAAGGTTTCGATGTTCTGGACTTTCACTATTTGACGGAGTGACATCACAACGGTTTTTCTACTATATTTTATCGCTAACGGATCCTTTAGAGAATCGCACGATTCTTGTAGACTCTTAAAGTTCTAATA